TTGTAAGCAGCCTCTATGTAGAAGACCAAGTTTTGGATGAAGGCCACTTCATCGAGGTTTGAGATGATGCGAAGACCTGCGTGATAACGTGACACACTCAGGGAACAACTCACGGTTAGGTACGAGGACCTGCAGTGCTAGCTAGAAGGGAAGCTGGCCAAGCAGGGAGGGAGCATCGCTGTTTGCTACGGTGTCTTTTTTAATACTACACAAGAGTCAGAAAATGTTCAAATCCTTATGTCAAAAGTGTGTGGCGTCTCTTGAACCAAAAATCCCCTTTAACGGGCAATGGGAAATGGTACCTGAGGCTGTCATCTGTGCAAGCATCAGCAGGTAAATAGAGGTGGCATCCACCTGGAGATGGCCCCACTGGTCGTCTCCGACAACCGTGGCACAGGTGGGAGTATGGTATTTGGCATGCAAGCAGTCCGTTGTACTCTGGGTGTGTTTGAACTTCTCCACCTTGGCCACCTGAAGACACATGAACATGCACATTTGAATACACAAAACACACACAAATATCCACGGTGTTTGTCTCGGCCAGAAGATTCTAAAAAGGGATATTAGCATAAAAAGTCAAGACTCCTAAATGGTTGTATTAGAAGAGAGAGATGGAGGATGAGATAAAACAAAACGGTCCACAACATATAGATTTCTGCATAAACTTGAAAAAAAAAACTTGAATTCATAAATAATTAAGAGTTAGATAAATCCCAAAGAGTGTGTTACATGCACAGTAGAATCCCACTTATGCTCCATATCCTGTTATTGATCATATGCAGGACAGAGCGCTGAAAAGGAATGACCTTGTTATTCACAGCCCTGTTCACATGATTAGAACATTATAAAGGCTTCTGATCACTGTCTGCTGTTTCCCAGTCAGTCGTGTATTTAGACCTGCTGATGATGATTTCGCTGCAGCAGAGGAGGAAGCCTCTTTGCTTTATGGCTCCGGGAGCACTGCGGCATTTTAACACTCTGCTGTGAATTTGGCGTCTTGGTCTTAATTCCAATAATGCAAGATGAGAGCAACAAACAATACACATTGTGACTGGAGCTTTTACTTCAATTCACATTGTTAATAATTAGTTTGTTTATCTGTCTGACTAACTGCCGACGTCGTGCCTGTGCAGATAGCAGCCGACTGTGGTCAGAGAGCCGGAGAGGCTGTTTACATATAACAGATAACATGTTGTGGTTTCTAAGAACCAGGACACACATTTACCCTTATCGGATTTTCCACCACAAGGATATGATGTCTTACCTGTCTCATCATGCACTGAAGAAGTCCCTGCATCAGTTTCACCACACTCTGCCGACAAACAACAACATCCGTAAGCTACGAAAATACAACAAAACCTCCCCACAATCCAAACTATTTTCTGTTTTTTTAGTAGAAAAGAGACGAAACGTCACAAATCCCTTTGCTGATTCTAATCACTCCGTTCAGTTCGGCTCAAAGTTCGTTCACTTTTGCCTTGGTATTGTATTAAATGTCTTGATTTATTGGTAATCATTAAATCTATAAAAACATGTCAAAAGAGCTAAAAGTGATATTTATAATTTGCGTACTTTCTCCGACAAACAGCCAAAAATCCAAATGACGTCATTTGTAACATACTATATATGAATAAAAAGAAAATTTGTGAAGTTGGAACCAGGATTTTTTATTGCTCAATTACTTTAATTTCCGACTCTTTCAATTAAGAATGATGGCTGATTAATAAACTTCTTTTAGCACTGACTTAATTATTTTACCATGTTAGATCTGTAACAATTAGCATACTTTATATCCCACTACAGTTCAGAGTTTGAAACATCAATTTGAGAATAAGACATCTTGTTTTAGGTTAATAGGATGTATTCCTAGAATACACAATTCTAGGAGTTGTTTCTAGGTGTGACAAACAGACCCCGGTGTGAACATTAACCCTCTCTCTGTCCAAAACGCACCTGCTCCAGCTCGTAGGCCTTGGCCTTGTCTTCATCGCGGTCTGCATTCTTGCGGTACGCCATGCCCAGCCCCCACACGGCCAGGACGCTGTACACATTATCCCTCACCCAGGCATCCTTCTTCTGGGCACTGGCAGGGAGAAGTCCTGTCACTGGGTTCTGAAACAAACAAACAAACACAAACACACACACACACAAACACACACACACACACACACACACACACACACACACACACACACACACACACACACACACAGTAAGGACAGGGTGGACATGAAGAAGATTTTCAAAATATTTGACAAGTCATTTTTCATTGTGAATTGATCAGACAATTACTCCACTAGTTTCAACTCTAAATCATTTAATCTGTGATACAATTTACTGTTGAAAGTTGTTTTTTGTTATATTGTCCTAGAAATACTGGCATTGAACATTAATGAAAATATAAGGCAGGAGACATCACTAAAACATAATCAAAGTATCAGTTCTCTATCAATGACAGTAAATGTGACTTTAAGTTGGGTTTGTGCAATTTCTAAAGTTTCAAGTTTTTGGTTGAAGAACCTGAGACTTCCTAGTGTGCCCCCCCTCCCCCTCCCCCTCATTCCTTCCCTCACTCCCTCCCTCCCTCTGAAACCAAACCTACACCCTGGCATATTCATGCTGTGTAAGGAAAGTTGGCACTGTTTTCCCATCAGCTGTGAACCCTCTGGGTCACACGTTTAAACTTAGACAGCTGTTGAAGTACAGATAAAGGTGCATAGTGCTCTGGTCCTCAGCCTGTACTCCAGAGGCTGAACTTTGCTCATGTCTTGTTTATTTCTGTGCGGCTCGATCTGGTTGAACCTTACCATATTTCTGCAGGAGATAACAGAGGGCTTGATGACAACGCTAAAAAACATCTAACAGAACTCAACAGTTCCCATTAAATAAAATACAGTGGTGGAGAGTAAGTAAGTGCAAAGGCTCCAGTGCAATTTTGAGATACTTGTACGTTAACTTGCTCATTTGATTTGATGCTGCTTTATACTTCAACTCCACTATTTTGGAGGCAAACATTGCACTTTTTACTCCACAACATATATTTGACAGCTTTAGTGTAGCGCATTGTGATCTTTCTTTACCAATGATATAACAGATCAATTATTCTGAAATGGGCCATGTTACAAGTACTTTTGAATATTCTGATGCAAATATATGTAGATTTATGGAAGTAAATGCAGGACTTGTACTTGTCTACCCTGTGGTACTGCTGTTTCTCGCCTGTATGCTGCCGTGTATGTCCGGACTCACCTGGTGGCACAGGATAGTCTCTTGGACCAGCCTGGCGTAGCCGTCCAGCCTCACTCCGGAGTTACTGCGGCTCCTCATCCTCACTGCGCACACAACAGAACAGGTTATGTCTGAACAAGGAGCTAGCACCGAAGGCTCGTCAGTAAATATGACCGTATGGCCAATACGGCGACTACATGCAGCTCAATCACTGAGGAAACGTACCACGCAGGGTTAGCGATCCATCCTTCCAGTCCTGCGGTTTGATGTGACAGCTTCGCCGCTCTGCAGAGGCAGCTGCTCGGCTACAGCTCGCTAGTCGGAGCTAGTAGCTCCAGCTGTTTTTGATAACACGAACATGACAATTGCCTGTGTTCTCTCTCTCACACACACACACACACACACACAGCCCGGTGCTCCGCTCAAGACGCTGGGCGTGTAGAGTCAGACCTTTCAGGTGACACGTGAGGTTTCACAGGAACAGCGCACGTGCGCTGGACGTCTGAGAGCAACTAAACTGTACATCCGCCCTGGAAAAAAAATATGACATAATGTTCTTGTTGTTTGAGTGTCTGCCGACAGGGGGCGCCACATGGCCCCCAATTTCTTTCTTTTCCAATGTTTCAGGGCACAGCGCAGATGGAAACAGGCAGGAACTTTCCCAAAAGGCTTATTTGTAGACCAAATTCCATACAAATGAAGTGCTACAGGAAACAATGTCTTTTCGTGGACTCTATTTAAAATGTACTTAAAGTTTTAAAAACAAGAAGTACCTATTATGTTTTTCGATGTAGTAGCTTGCTGTGGTGGAGCTAATTCAACCTATTTGATATAACGTTGGGTGATATATGTGTGGCACTGGCTCGTTCGGCACCCGTCAAGAAACTGCCAAGCTGAGCGGGCGTAGCCACATTTCCTGGGAACACCCATTGTTGTTACGACAGGTCAGCTGCCGTAAATCAGTTTTATGATCATGGTTAGTTAATACTATGGATTTTAGATGAGACACACAGAGGAGCAGCGGTTTTTTCTTTTGTCAATACTTAAGTGTACAGATAGATAGATAGACAGTGTACAGTTACATTTAAGTTGAAACTTCCCTCGTAGTACTTCAAACCCT